TTTTTTTTTTTTTTTTTTTTTTTTTTTTTTTTTTTTTTTTTTTTTCACGCTGTACGTAACAGTGATGCACGCGTTAACGCGGATAAATTTACGAGACAAGCTTACATGTATATATACCTACTCGCTTTGCCATGTTCGGCAAAAGCTCGGCTATGGACTGTTTGCCCGATGTCGAGTTTTTTCTTTGTTTTTGATCTATTGATCTTTTTTTTCCCCCTCGTATGTGCAGTACACGTAAAAACCTTTCGTCACTTGGACGGATTTGGTCGTCAATCATAGCGCGACGATGAGAGAAATCTCCGTCATACACGCGACTAATTGTACACAAGGCTTGGACAATAGAATGTCGTGAAAAATATCCGAGTAGTCAGTCTCGTTGTGTACAACAGCGGCGAAGCGTGCCATACTCTCAGTGAGCTATGGTGTCGTTCGATGTTTAGCATAAAAATGCTGTTCCAGAACGTGATCGGTATAGAAAACCTTTTGAGATGCTGTGTGTTGAGCACACCGGAGCTCAAACACTGTTCGTACACACCTCGTCGTGTGACATTATTGCGGCGCGTACCTATGACGCGCGAGGCCTGTCGTACACTTACTCGCTGTTGCAACGCTGCAACTGACTTGTCTTATTTTTTGTACCAAATAATCACCTGTTTTAATTTTTTTAAATCTTACTGTACGGGATACGTAAAGTTCTTCTACAAAGAACGTTGTGTTGCAATATGATTAGACATTACAGCATTATCTTGAATAATGAAAAAAAGGAACAAAAAATTATTTTATTGTTACGAGATCGGTAGAGGACCAAGTTGATAATACAACATGTACCATAGTGGTTGATGCAAAAACTTGACTTGATTGAAGCCCAATCCATTAAAATTTGAGCAATTAATTTTTGCATCATATTTTATTAAAGAATTAACAGTAGTAAAGTACTTTCCATTAAAAGGATACAACCTGCTATGTCCAGTTAAGCCAAAAGTAACATAAAAAAAAAAGAAAGTAAAGGGAGTAAAAAATATGGGTACTGACATTTGTCGAGTGTTTTTCTTTCTCAAGAGGTGTATTCAATGCACTCGAGGTTGCGGTTCCTTTCGGCGCATCTCCTCCAATAATACCAAGTAAGTGCAAGTACTGGCACGACAATGATCCTCTCGAGTGGAAGCCAAACAAAAAGAATCTCAAGAGAATAACCACGAAGAGGCTGCCTGTCTCTTTTTGCTTTGCAAAACTTTTGACATTTCCTTCAAGTTGGTTTTGCTCTTCAACGAGTCCACGTCTTTTTTTTATTACTGTTGTTTTCCAAACTGCGTTGGTGTACCAATTCTTTCCACGGCTGCAAGATATGTCAAAAAAAGTTTCGACACAAACACCATCTTAAGGATCTGATGATGTTTCTCTATTGAAACCGTATGGGAACACTTTTGGTTAAAGCAGATCTTTTCTTATTTTCGGATGTATAGGCAAATGACGCCAACAAACACGTGACGCTTTTTCAATTGTTCACGCTTTGTTATTATAATCACAAGAACAAAATAAATAGTAGATCAGTTTTGTTTATTCCCAGCAACATTTTAGTCTTGAAGAGCAAATGTCACGAGCAGACATTGCCATGGTAGGCGCATCGGTTAGAACGATTCTTTCGACGAATGTCACATGATAAGATAAACGTGGCTTTGACCATTTTATTTATTGGTCTCATGAAACGTGAAACGTGATCATAACTTACCATGTTCCGTTGTGCCTTTCTTCAACGTAACCGTGTAGACAATCAGTTTTGTTGGTGTTAAAATGGCCAATCGCTCATCCTGAGATCCACTGTAATCGAAAGACACAAATCGGTTGAAATAGTACTCAATGTACAAATATATGTATACTGTTTTTTTATTTCTTTTTTTTCCATCTCTGGCACTTGTATGGTACAGGAAAAATATGTCATTCCCACCTGGTGCATAATAATCTACTACTCAACGATTATTTTCATACCGATTTTACCGATTTCATGCCTTATTCGCAAAAAGAGTGGATTATCCAAAAGATGCAATAAAACAAGAAATTCTATATGTAAACGCGTGTGACGAAAAAAAAAAAAAAATAAAATAAAATAAATCCACCGATCGTTAACTTTTTGATCGATCCGGAATACAACGACCGCTAAACCACTCCTCTACGACTACATTCGCCTATACACCATGTATCATAATTTACGTGAAATGGATGAGGGGTGGGGGGGGGGAGAAAAAAAAACAGAAAATCAACTCACGAGGTGAACTTGCCGGCCTGAACGCCGAGCACAGCGTCGGCCAGCTTGGCCTCGATCACGAGATCGGTGGACCTGTAGGGGCCGGGCGCCTTGGCCTCCTCGTCCCAACGATTGGCCGGCTCGTAGATCCTGAGGTAGCCATTGTGGCTGGCTACGACGATCGCGTCCGTCCCCGCGTTGTTGTTATTATTATTACTGCTGTCCTTATCTAACGAGGAGGAAAATAATCCCCGAGCCACCAGCAAACCGTGCCCGTCGAACTGCTCCCTCAAATCGCCGCACTCCGTCCTCCACCACTCCTTTGTCTTGAAGAGCGACATTACGCACACGGGATTCCTCTCTCTCTCTCTCTCTACATACACGTAATGTCCATCCTCTCCTTTCCTCGACTCGCGGCTTCCTCGCACTTTATTCCTCGTTTCCCATTGTTGTGGTTGCCGTTGTTATTAATCTTGCAGCCTCTCTCTCTCCCCCTCGCGAGCAACCCTCCCCCGAAAGGTATACAAGGTGCCCATCATACATACATACATACATATATACACATACGGGTGGTAAACGAGCCGGACCACCCTGAGCGCTACGCTGCGGCCGGCGCGCCTCCTCCCGCGAGAGGAGGAAGAGAAAATTGTGTCGAGCGAGAGGGAGGGAGGGAGAACTTGGTCCTGAGAACAACGGCAGGAGCAACAGCAAAGGAGGATATGTACACCTTACTCTCGCTCCTCTGTCGCACAGGTGTGCGTTTAATGTGGTCGCGAACTGTGCACGCCGACGACGTCGTCCTCGGGGCCATACGGGCACAATCGGTTGCCATGGGAGCCCCGCGCTCAAAACAATAGCCCGTCCAGCCCCCCTCTCTCTCTCTATCTCTTTTTACCTCCCCCCATCTTGTTCGCTTTCACCCACGCCGCACTTTAATTTTTATGAGGTCTTGTGCGTATATGCACATTACATATACGTAGGTGTACATGTTCAGCTAATCAAATCTCCCTAAAGTCCACTTTTTTTTTTTTTTTTTTTTTTTTTTTTTTTTTTTTTTTTTTTT